ACATGTAAATACCATAAGATGGAGCTGAATAACATGTTCTCAGCAAATGCAGGGTTTCCAGACAGCTTTCTTTCATAAATGAATAGTCAGATGCAATTCTCAATGAAGAAATGCAATTTAAGATACAATAGTAATAGAAACACATGCTTTGCAACACTGACGGAGTGTAAAATTGCGAGATGAATCTGATGTAAGTTCAGATTTCCAATCTTTGATCTAACCATGATTATGCTGGTTACATTTAGAATAATACAACTTTCAGAAGTGCAAATAAAGATAAAATAGGCATTTTAAAGCATAATAGCAATTGATAGGAGCAAATAGTGTGAGTGGGAGAACTGAATAGTTATTTTTCACAGATGCTGTTTTGGATCTTCCAAACTACATATCTCTTCACTGATTTTCTTATCAAAGCTAATTTAATTTTTATTTTTCAGTTGGTCAGTGTGTAACCATATATTTAAGTAGCTGTAAACATTGCTGTAAATTACGAGCAGTACAGCTTTCTTTTGCTCAGCTAGACCTTAGTGTCTCTGAAAGTCATATGCCTGAATCTCCTTTCTCAGTTAGCCTTGGGCCAGAATAAATATTAAAATGTTTTGCTAAAGTTTTAAGGCTGTTAAATGATCAGCTGCTGGAAGTGTTCTCAGAGTGCTTGCAATTTTCTAGTACATACGGTAAATTTCACAGACAGAATTACTGATATGTAGATATTAGCCTCATATTTTAAGGTTTTGCAATCCATATAATTAATTATTTTTTTTTTTCAATCAGGAGGTAAGCACAAAGACTATATCGCTGTGGTCCTATATAAACAGCCAGTTAGATGAGTTCACAAATCCTTTCTACGTAAACTATGAAAACCATGTCCTGTATCCTGTGGCCAGTCTGAACCATTTGGAACTATGGGTGAACTACTATGTCAGATGGAACCCAAGGATGCGGCCTCAGGTATGAGCTTTCACATAACTTCTGTGTTTTAGTGAAGAGCAGGGAGATTTAAAAAAATTATTATTTTTCATAGTGTCGAATGCAGCATTTAATTTCAAAAGTGCTCATCTGTTGCATGTATTTCAGCTGATAGGGAAAAAGGTGATTTTCTCAAAGAAGAGGCGTGATGTGTGCAAACTTGGTAAAATGATGTTTTCATTAAAGTCACCAGTAGACTAGGGAGTTACAGTATCACTTTATGGGCTTGTGAAAGGTAACAGATTAACAGTCTTATTGTCAGAAGATTACTTTTATAACACTTCTATAATACTTTGTAACACTTTTTAATACTTTTGTTGCCTTAGCCGCCTTGTAAAGTTTAGTGTACCTTTGTTTTTAATCATGTTTTGTCCTTTACCAACAATGATATAAAATATAGCAGCAGTTTCTGAAAGAATTGGACTACATACTGACTCATTTTGTAGGCTCTCTAAACTTAGCATCACATAGATGCTTGTTTTCAATTGACCTTTACAGTTTCAAGCTGGCATGCTAAAGATTAAACACTCTGTATATATGCTCCTTGAGTCATCCAGTATTTGTTCTTATAAGTAGTGTCTGTGATTCAGATAAATCTCTACATCTCGTCAGACAAATACTCCATATGCTCTCATGCTTAGAAGTCTGAAGAAAGAACATTGTTTGTGTCACAGCCATAATATATCTGAGGGTGCTACACCATCTCTTTATTAAGGTAACATTCCAAGGTACCCCCAAGCATATTATGATAAATTACCTGTATTAAGTGACTGCTTGAAAGCTGCTTTCATCTTCTAGCAGTTAGAATGAGACGTGATTTTCAAATTTATTAGACGCCCAGAAGTCAGAGGCTGTTGTAAAAGATGGTGTTCCAAGGTAGGTTTCAAGGGCAGTACACTGGTAGAAGTCCAGGCATCTGAGAAATACCTTTTACGGTCCTGGAAAAGTCTGGATTGCTTGCTTTCTCACTGAGATGTTTTTTCTGAGCTGCTTTGTTTCCCTAATTGTTCTATTTTGGTTGATGTAGTCCTATGACTGTTAGGTACCTGTTCGGTGTTAGCATGTGTTAAAACTTGAAAGATGGTGTATTTTAATCTTTATGGTTTTAAAGTAAAATTGTCAACTGCTTTTTAGCAAAATACCATCTTTCCCTTAGCCTATTTGCTGAAAAACATTTGCGTGGTTTATGCACATTTTAGTCTAATCGACCTGCAGCAGTGTCAGTTTATTACTTGTATTTAATTGAGATCTGTAGGCCCTGAAAGCTAGCAGGCTTTGTAAACACACATGAAAGCTAGTCCAGGTCCAAGAGAGATGAGAGTGGGGAAGAGATGACATAATGAGAAAATGTCAGAACTGTCATATACTTAGTGGCAAGCTCTGCTCACTGCCTCTCTGTTGGAGAGCGCTCTGCCCACTTCTGTTGGAGAGCACTCAGGCACTCTAGCACATATGAATCATTGATCTTCATTGGTCATTGAGAACAGGTCCCTCAAATCAGCAGGTTGAAGGTAGCAAAATCTGATGATCCTGGTAACTGCTTTAACTTTACTACCACCTTCTTTTCTTGAAGACCTAGTACGACTTTTGACTTTTTAGATCTACCACATTACCTTTGTCTTGTGAAAATACATCATGCCTTTCCTCTTGTCTCTGGCCTGAATTTAGCTGATATCTGTGAGAAATATTCGGAAGTGTTTCACATCTACTTGGATAAATTTGCTACAGAAATTACAGTTTTTTTGTTGCAGAATTGTGTTCTCCAATCTAATTATGAAAGCACAAACTCATGCAAACAAGTAAACAAGTCTTTGTAATCACAGTATACTGAGTCTGCTTTCTTCTGTATTTGCATTGTCTAGTTTCACACCCTGTTAGCCAATTCAGTAACATTCAGACCCATTCAGTAACAGCAAAAAAGACAATCACGATTGCGATGCCCAGCAGGTCTTCACTTACCTTCAGTGAAAAGATTTCTTAAACAATCAGTGGATTTATTAAAAGAATGGGCACCCCTGCCTACTGAGAAAAGGTGTTTTTGTTGAATAACTTCTAATGTGTTTCTTCTGTTTTTCCACTGGAGTAAGAGAAAGTTAAATATTTAATATTAATGAAGAGCTCTCTGATGAATAGCAATTCAAGGCAACCTCACGTACTGTTTTATCAGCTGCAAAAATTTCTTTAGGAAACTGGAACATGTTTATTGTTTTCTAGGAGATCACCAAAAAGGAGAAATGCCTAATTACATGAGTTTAAGGGAAAATGAAGAATAGTCCTTTAATATAACCAGAATGGATGTTTGATACCCATTATCAACCGTCTTTATGTTATGGGAGAGGAAACTCGCAAGAGTAAAAGGGCAGTTTTTGGTTTGAGGCAATATTTTAGGTTTTCTAATTTCAGCTTTATTAGTGAGTGAGGCTTGAATTTTTAAATGGACTGAGAGAAGTTAATCATTGCACTTCATTGACTTTCTATTGGAAATGAGCATACATCACCTTTAGTTTTTTTAATTTGAAAATTACTGAATGCTAACGGGATATAAGCATTTATTTTTGCTTTGTTGTACTCTGCCTTCAAATATCTGTGTTTCATCAGACCTCTAACAGTACAGAAAGGTCTGATCATGTTCGTCATTGCACTAGGACATACAGAGTTCAGAGTTACTCTTATGTTCTGTAAAGAAAAGATTGCTTATAATGATATATCTTCAGTTCTATCTAAGTTTTGTGGAAGGCTGAATTGGTGGGTTTGATGGAGTTTATTTGCATCAAGAGCCTTGTTTTGGGATTACAGCTGTATTGCAATAGATGCTGTGCAATTAGGTGACACAGTCTCCTTCCATAGGGTTCAAAGCTCAAGTGTCTGAGAAGTGAACAATGTGGAAAATTCTAGGTTAAATGTGGACATCTTTTGTAGATTCCCTTTTTGCTAAGCTGTGCTTCAACAAGGTCATTCTAATTCTTAAGTGAAATAAAAAGTTCCTCGGTTTCAGTTTGGAGGTGTTTAATACATCATTATCGACTTCTTGTCCCAAGAAAATTAGATAGATTTGAGTCCTATCTTATTTGAGTTCATTGACTGAGAAGAGGTTTTTTCCAGATTTGCCCTTTCCTTGGGTTGGAGAAATGTGTATTTGTATATGACATGTGGAAGATAAGCTCTTTCGTTCTCTCATACAGAGGTGTGTGCTCTGTGGGTACCTGCTACTGGATTTACAGATGACCCTACTAGTCTGGAATAAATAAGATTGTATGATGCTTTTGAATTTTTTCAGTTGTTACCATATATTTCTCTTTCCTTTCCTATGTAGTCATTCAGACCTCTTCTTTACACTGGTTTGAGGAGTTCTGGCTGTCAGGTGTCAGTTAGTTCTCTGCTTGGGCAACTCTGGAAGGTGGAGAGAACACAACAAATGATTTTCCTGAATAGGACTTCTGCAGGGGCAGTATTTTTGAACTAATATACTCTTATCATTCACATATACAGAGCATGAGGAAAAGTTCTGGTCCTTTCAATTCAAGCTGTGCCTTCCTATGTGAGAGGCAAGAAAAAGAATGTATTTTAGTCACAAAATTTACATAGGCCATTAGGATATATTTAGGTTTTTTTATGCCTTCTGGGAAATGACATTTTAACCCTTGGAGTGCAGGGCTTAAACTTGTTTTGTTTTAATTTTTTTTTTTTTTAATTTTTCTATGCCTGCTAATTTTCCCTCAAGCTCTGTTCTGGAAATTTAGCCACTGTGCTAGAGATAATATCATAGGAATCCCTATGAGTTTTTCAAATTCATTCTCTTCTTTTTGTGTGTGGACTTTCATCCAGAATATTAGGCTAGCACCATCTATAACCTAGAAATTCAGTTCAACTACTGGAATAGGATCATCTGCTAAAGGCAGTCTTTGGAGCTTCCATGAAAAGCCAGGGGAAGTCTGTTCACAGGTTAACAGCTGGCTTAAAGAAAGAAAAGGAAAAGGTAGGAATAAATAACTATTTGTTCAGTATATACAGAAATGATCTGGAAAGCATATAAATAGGTTATGATGTTTGCTGCTTTTTTTTATGCTGTGTATAGAATTGTAGAAGGATTTGGTGTGTTGAACAGTTGAGTGATTAGATGTCAGCTGAACTTCAGTGTCAATAAACACAAAATATTGCATATTTAAAAGAACAAATAAGATGCTAAGCATCACTGGAAAAATTGTTGAGAATAAACTGGAAAACATAATTACTGAGATGCTTTATCCTGCACATAACAGGGTAGGACTTACTGTCTGGCATGTGGAGTGTTCATATGATTTATACCTGCCTTCAGTCGAGTTGCCCGGCATTTTCTGCTCTCAGCATGTTGACATTGGTTATAATATGTTCAAAGTTCATACATATGATTTAACACCATTTTGTGGCAGGACAAAGCCATCATAAGGCTCTGGAAATGCTTGGCATTGCTGGTCCACGATCCATAGGCTTGAGTCCATCTTTTTGCATGAAAGAATGAAGCAGGAGATGTCAGGAGAAGGATTTGCCTTGTGGGTTAGGTAGCTGATTGTTGTCCTGTCTAAGTAGATTTCATCCCTGCATTTACTGCAGAGTTTCTTGTGAGACAAGGCAAGTTTCTTACAGTACCTGATAGTTTCTCTCTATCTGGGTGTCTAGGTCAAGATTTCCAGAGTCTGATTTACTGCAGGTAAATTACATCTGCAGATAGAACTCTCAGCATTCAGTTGATACAGAATAAAATAAAGACTAACTGCTTATCCTGTGTGCTGAAAGAATCTGTAGTCATTTAAGAAAAAAAAAAAGATTGGTAGCCTGTAATAAGCACAGCATCAGAAGATGCACAGAAAGGGAGAAACTAGTACTATATAAATAATCTTCATTTTTGGGAGCTTCTAACATATTTTGAAGAGCAATCACTCAAAGCATTGATCTAATCTATCAGATGTCTAAATCTAAGTGGGCTGTAGGTCTTAACAAGCAAT